TAAGCACCATGCTGCTGTCTCTGTGAGTTTTTGTCTTATTTGTCCATTTGTTGCTTTCAGTTTTATATGCCACATCAGTGAAATTATACAGTTCTTAACTTTTTCTGTCTGACTTATTTCTTGAGGAATGTTTTTCATACCCAACTTCACTAAAGATGCCCCTATGACTTTTTGCACTTCAGCATATTACATGCTCCTGCAGAAAGCCTTTCTGACCAGCCTCCTCTCTCAGTCCTTCGTCCTCACCCAGGCAGGTAACCCTAATTTAAGCTAATAGCAAGCTGTACCTTTCCTTTATAACAACTACTAAATATAATTTAAATGATGATTTTTATATTTACGGTGTGATCATTTGGTTAATACAGTCTCCCCAGACAGACTGTGGGTCACACGTCTCTTTTCCTCACCACCTTTCACATATCAGTTTTGTATAAATATTTTCTGAATGAATAAATTCTACGTCCAATCAATCACAGTTATACCAAACTCTGACAGCTCATGTTTAATATGTTTCTAAAGTCCTTCTCTGAACCCCTCCACTGGCCTATACAGCCCACACCTGGTAAATGAGCGCTTGAGTTACTGCACACCCTCCTGATCTGCCTCCTCACTTCCAGCTTGTCTTCCCTCTAACCTTTCTTGCATCTTGTTCATTTATCGCAGTTGGAAAAAGAACAGATTCACAGAGGAGGGTAAAAAGGTGGGTCTAGAACAGGGGTGGGCAAACTTTTTGACTCGAGGGCCACAATGGGTTCTTAAACTGCACCGGAGGGCCAGAACAAAAGCATGGATGGAGTGTTTGTGTGAACTAATATAAATTCAAAGTAAACATCATTACATAAAAGGGTACGGTCTTTTTTTAGATTTATTCATTTCAAACAGGCCGGATCCGGCCTGCGGGCTGTAGTTTGCCCACGGCTGGTCTAGAAGTTTGTACAGGGTTTTCATGGATGTCAATGGACAGGAAAATTGAGAGGAAAGAGCAAAAACATGGAGATGAAAACATAGGAAAAACATGCTCCAGGTTCCCCCAGTGTGTCCAGACACTACTGAAAAGGTCACTACCAAGAAATGAATGAAATGACTGGCTTTAACAAAGGAAATCCAGTAACTGTGGGTTACAATGACAATACTAGGCAATACTAGATCACTAAGTGCTCCAGGAATGACGGGGTCGGGGGGATGTCTCCCTATTGTGAGGCAACCTAAGACCTGGGAAAGGGCACAGAACCCCTGGGGACAGTGTGAGGGCCCCTCTTGGCTGTAAGTGGTTGAGACTAAACAGTCAAAAATCTAGAAGGTCCAAAACATTTATACTTTACCCTTTAGGTGATCCATTCTCGAATTTCAGTTTGCCTAAGAATTAGGTAGAGGAGCTAATAAAGGTATATGTCCAGTGAGATACTGAATAAAATATTACCATTAACTCATTTTTCAGTAGAAAAAAATCAAGTAGCATTATAGAAAAAGAAACAGGAATTTTAAAAAGATTTTTTTTCTTCCTCTAGATCTCTTTAAAGAGATTAAAAAAACAAGTCGTTAAAAAAGTAACAACTGACCTACATGCCTGTAATAATGAAATCATATCTAACAAGTATTTATAGAAGAGTAATAGAAAAACAATTATCCAGAAATGATCAAAATGTACTTAACATGCTAAATACAGTGTCACTTTAACCTCAGGAAGTTGTAGTTCCTCTAATGGCTCATTTATAATCTGTCATGGGATGATTACAAGATAAATCTCATAATTTTTAACACTGTGGAGTTGCATTTATGTTTCTCTTCAAACAACACACGCTAAAGACCAAAGACAATTTAGAAATAACTCAGTGACAACAATAGGCTCAAAATGACTATGTTTTTCAGAGTGTGAAATTTTCTTTAGAAGAAGAAATTTTAAAGCATCCCTTGAGCCTGTAACACACAGATATCTATGTCAAGTCTGTCATTTATCTACCACTTTCAGACAATGAAACAACCACAGGGCAATTCTGCCCACAGCTGAGTGAGAATGGGGGTGAGCTCCATTTCTTGGCAGGTGATAAGATATCAAGGCCATGGGGATGTTGCCATTTTCAGTAACACAATGAAAAGTCCTTGCGGAGACATGATTGAGCAGTGCTGAGAAAAGTGGAAGGAAACCAGGGAAACAGGCAACTCTGTGCACTGCCTCCTAAAAGCCCAATACATGCTCCCCAAGTGCACATGTAAACATTGAAAGATGGACCTACTCAGTGCACATGACCACTAAAACTGCACACCTACTGACACAGTAGCGAAGACTGCATCTGTGCCTTCTGCTCCCTGGTCCTGAAATACCCTCTTCCCAGTTCATCTCTTCTGCCTGAAAGGTCACAACAAAAACTGTGTCCCCTGCCTGGCTGGTGTTGCTCAGTGGCTGAGCATTGACCTATAAACAAGGTCATGGCTCAATTCCTGGTCAGGGCACATGCCCAGGTTGTGGGCTCGATCCCCAGTAGGGGGCATGCAGGAGGCAGTCGATCAATAATTCTTTCATCATTGATGTTTTATCTCTCTCTCCCTCTCCCTTCCTCTCTGAAATCAATAAAAATATATTTTACCCTCACCCCCCTGTTGTCTGTGCCCATTGGTTAGGCTTATATGCATGCATACAAGTCCTTTGGTTGATCTCTCCCTCTTACCCCCACCCTCCCCTGTCTTCCCTCTGAGGTTAGACGGTCTGATCGATGTTTCTCTGTCTCTGGATCTGTTTTTGTTCAGGCATGAGTGGGGAGGAGTGGGGAAGGGAGGCAATGGGTGGAAAAGGACACATATGTAATACCTTAATCAATAAAGAAAAAAATCAAATATATATGTTATTAATATATATATTAAAAACAATTTTAAAAAAAGTGGGAAAGAAACTGTCTCCTTTTAGAAACACCCATCCCAGTGTTTTGTTTTTCGCCAAGATAAACCAAATCATCTGGATAGTAAAGGGGGAAAATATCACAGAAAACAACAATTTGAATTTTTAAAAATTTGATGTTAAGCTAAAGGATTTATAATAATTCATTTTAAAGTGAACTTTTAAAAAATATATTTTTAGTGATTTAAGAGAGGAAGGGAGAGAGAGGGAGAGAGAGAGGGAGAAACATTAATGATGAGAGAGAATCATCAATGGCTGCCTCAGGCACGCCTCCCACCGGGGATTGAGCCTGCAACCCATGCATGTGCCCTTGACTGGAATCGAACCTGGGACCCTTTCAGTCCATAGGCCAATGCTTTATCCACTGAGCCAAACCAGCTAGGGCTTAAGGTGAACTTTTGACCTCAATTTTAAACCGAAGTTGCATCAATTTTATTGCATCAATATTCAAAAATGTGATAGGTACTCATCCCCTCACTGCACTGGAAATGAGCTTTCAAAAGGACAGAGTGAGTCCAGTTGGTCACAGATACTAGAAAGTCTCTCCCCGAAATGGCCATAATGATACCACCACCAACAGAGCTTCATTGCATGGAAGCCTGTCTCATTCCTGAATAGTTTTCCTCCTCATTCCAATGAGACCAGAGAAGGGCACAGGTACTGAAGAAAACTAGGGGTCATATTCCATCAGATACAGAGACCACATTGTACCTCCCCAGGCAAAGAAACTGTCTCAACATTCAAATACACAAATTGCCCTGCAGGTGTGGCTCAGTGGTTGAGCATCGACCCAGGAACCAAGAGGTCACGGGTTCAATTTCTGATCAGGGCACATGCTCAGGTTGCAGGCTCCATTCCCAGTAGGGGGTGTGCAGGAGGCAGCCAATCAATGATGTTCCTCTCTCATCTATGTTTCTATCTCTCTATCCCTCTCCCTTCCTCTCTCTCTAAAAATAAATAAAAACATATTTAAAAAAATAATAATAAATCAAATACAAAAATAAACTAAAAACCGTAGTTAAAGCAGAAAACCAGCTATTAAAAAATATTCATCTCACTATCTTGCAAATTTCCAAGAGGTGTATTGAAACCTATTTGAGCTTTATCTGGACCACTGTAAAGTGAAATCCAGCAATTAGCACTTCTCTAGACTATTATTCTTTTTTTTTTTTAAGCAAAAACAAAGTTTTATTACAGAAAAGCTCCCTGCTGCAGGGAGAAGACCCAAGCGGGTTGCCCTCTGTCATTCTTAGTGTTATACTATGCCCTGTGTTATCTTATGTCTAAAACCATATTCTCTTCTGCCCTGCAGCACTGAAGAACCAATATATGGAAGGGAATATAAATCTCTATTCAAGCCACAAATATCACCAATATTAGACAGTGGAAATCTCTAAATAATGGAAAAATAATGTTAGATTATAAATTAGAGAATGTGGATAAGTGTTAAATGAGTATGTTCAAATAATGTATACAGTTAAGGTATAAAATTGTCTGATTTCATTTAACTGAAATATGGTATATTTCTTAGGTTCCAACCTTTGATTAAGGAAATTAATTTTTAAACACAAAGAAGTTGAAGGATTAGTACAATGAATACCCATGTATCCTCCATTTAGATCTGACAACTGTTAGCATCTTTAATTTTTGTTTTATCTAACTATGCATTTGTGCAAATATCTACATATATAAAAGCCCAGCGACCAGAATGGCAGAACAACCAGAACAACCAGCGGCTATGACAAGCACTGCAGCATCTAACCAGCCTGATCTGGGACCCGATCGACCCCTGCTCCAGCCCCCAATCGGCCCCCAACACCCTGATTGGGGATGGGGACAGCCAGCCAACTGCCAACGGCCCCTCCCTCCCATCGGCCCTGCCCGATGAGCCCCCATCGGGGCAGGCCAGCCAGACCCCACCTGTGCACGAATTTGTGCACCAGGCCTCTAGTTGTAACATAATTATCAAGATTTTTCAGTGAGTTCTAACTCCAAACATCCTTCTCAGTTCCATCTCCCACAAGTTTCCTTAACAAACACTATCCCCCATTTGGAGAAAACTACATCCATAGTAGCATGGATTTCCCATCTGAGCATCTCACTGTTCCCTCTGCTATCAGTCCTGTTCCCACTAGTTTCTTTTCACACGAACATTTCTCTAGTTTCTCCAAGTACAAACATTCTTTTTTTCAAGACAAATAGCAAATGAAATCCCATGCAAGAAACCTTCTTTGTTTCTTCCACAAGCCCTTTCGGAGTAACTCTCCTTGCTTTGCCATCCCCTACCATGATGTAATTTTGCAAACACCGCTTAGTGCTCTCTAGGATAAAGGCATATCCTTGTTCATCTGTATATTGCTTGCAGCAATTTCTATAGGCTATACAAGATACTCCATAAATAACTGTTAGGTATCTAAAGTGTGTGTTTTTTATTCCAATTTGATGTTTCAAGAAAAAGTTAAATTACGAAGAGTGTTTTACCCTATTATAATTCTTTTCATGCGATAATCCAACTCATGTTCTCAAAAAAAAACAAACACAAAAGTTGATTGCTTAGTTTACTGAAGTATACTTAGGATTCGTAAAGCAATCTTTGAAAACTGTAAAATGTACTTACCTTCTCGTTATTGTAATAAGAAATGCTAAAGCCATCAAATTTCACCCATCTCTTCTGAAACATGCGTTTTCTGTAAAACATATGAAATTGTTATTTTACATTTAAGTACCATGAACTGGAATTTTAAATATGTTTGTAATGTGACTGCACTTGCTGTTAATGCAGAAAACAATAGGCCACAACAATGCACAGTTTGGCAATTGTACACAAAGAGAAAAATGTGTGTGACGGCACTTTCTAATCACCTATATAGGAGTCTAAAACAATGACACTGTTAACACTGTTGTCACCCACGTTTGTAAGGTTGAGTGCAACACAAAGTACTGTCAGACACCCTATCAGCATACCCATTCCCCTTCATGAAGGTAACAGAACTTTTCATCCCTCATTAAGCTTAAAACATTTATTTTACCTCCATTTCTGCTTTAGAGAATGAATAATATTTTGCTAAAATAATAAAGCTTTGTCAACTGGGTTTTATACAGATAAACTAATTATGATCTAATAAGCTGAAAAAGCCCTGTCCACATAGAGAATCATTTACAATCATCCAAAATTCATGAACATGTTTTGAAAAAGAATCATATGAAAGGCAAATGCCATTTAAAAAGGATACTGAGATGAGAAACAAAGCAAAATAACGGAATCACGGGTTTCCAAGTTAAGCTTAAAAAAGAAAAAAACCTTTTTCTGGCTACAAGGGAAAAGTAAAAAACCATTTCTGCGTGGTCTTTTTTCTGTTCTGTCTCGTTTCAGTCTCCTTTCCTGAAGACAGACAATCCTAAAGGTTTTGAAGATCCTACTTTCTACGTGACCTCTCAGTGTGGACTGACACAATCCAGATACTTTTAGCGTTTAACACAGATAAGAAAACTAACTTTTTGAAAAAAATTCACCTACACAAAGACAGAAAAACCACTGTCTATCTTTTCCTTTTGCACTGTTCTGGCATGTTTAAGATAAGGAATTGGCATGACTTTCTGTGGTTTTCAGAAGATTTAAAGATAGAAAAAAAACACCTCAGAAATGTGTAGAAAACTTTCCTTCCGGGCTTTTCCCTGAGTACCACACATCTATTATGCAGCAAGCCTCCCACACTCATCCTTAGCCAATTTATTCCGCTTAAAATAAAATAAGAGAAAATCGGATCAAATGGAGAAAAGTTTCAAAGTTCATCAGTGCAGACAACATTTTCACATATAAGCACCGAATTATGACATAATAAGAACATGTAAAGACCTTACGATCATAGAACTACAACTAACTATCCAGCCTTCTTTCTATCTTATTCCCTCTTCTTTCGGTTTCTTAACTTCTAATGATTTGCAATTGGTTTTCTTAACATTGCAACATACAACAGGTTTTCACTTCTTTCAACAACCCAAGAGTTCTTCAAATTCCCAGCATTAAAATTAAAAAGTAAAGAACATTAAACAAACACACAATAATAATACATTGAACAAAATCACAGCGCATTCCTTTCATGCTGATCTCTGTCATACTTAAAGGCGTGTAAATACACATCTTCCCATAGGACTCCACAGTAATTCTGTAAGACAAGATTTGTTTGAGCCCCACCTGCCTTACATTGAGAATGGTGGTAAAATAAAGCTCAGTAATGTAAAATAATCTGTTTTATTATAAAAGTAATCAACATTTATGGCGATAAAGGCCTTAGAACCTTCCACTATCGCTCCATTCCCTTTGCTAACTACTCCTTATCTTTCAGAATTTCACCTATACCGCCTACACAGACATTCCTCCCCTGATAAGCCAATTCAGAGCAGATCACAAAATTATTCCCTCTTTTTCCTCATAGCTCTGAATACAATCTCCCATTATAAATATATATTTGTCTACGTGCTTAACGTCTTTTCTCCTGGTAACACCAGCCCTTATGTGTTACAAGGACAAAGTTCAAGAACGTTTCATTCTCTACTGTATGACCAGCAACTAACCCAGAGAGAAATAGGGCACTAAAAAAAAAAAAAAAGCATCTGTGGAATGAATGAGTGACATGATTATGTGGCTGGCTCCTTATCCGTGAGATCTCAGCTTGAAAGTCACTCCCTCTGAGTAGCCATCCCTGCCAGCAGATGGATCCTTCAGGTCCCCTGGGTCTCCTGCTCCATTTCTTGAATCAGACTTCACAGATTTATAATTATATATCTATTTTGCTTTATCCATCTCCCATGATAGATCTTTGATACTTGAATATAGAAAAGATTTGTTTTGTTTATCAATGTAAAACTAACAATTGCCACAGTTCCTAGCAAATAAAATGTGCTTAATAAATATTTAACAAATATATTTTTCAGTGAAAAATTCCAATTTGCATTTCATATAGAGAAAATAAACATTACTAAAACACTTTACCTTGTTTTTTTCTTTTTCCAAATACTAAAGATCATGTCATGAAATGACCGTATAAAAGCTCTGTAAAACTACCTTGTTATTAAAGAAAAATTAGACACTACAGAAAACATGAAAAAAAATGATCATTTTAATTTCCATGCAATGTTAAAATATATTTTAAACATTTTTAAAATACATTCTTAAAAATGTATTCATTTGGTACTTTCCTATTTAAAATGCAAGTTAGTCAATTTAAGATGTTTCTAAAACTAAATTTATATACACAACCTATTTTGCTCATGAAATGTGTCAACATTCAATTAGCTATTTTCTGCATGTGAACTTTAATAGCGAATTCTAATAACTGGTTAATTAAAGAACTTACACTTAGATCCTTTTTTACATTATTTCCCCCCCCCCTTTTTTTAAATATATATTATTGATTTTTATAGAGAGGAAGGGAGAGGGATAGAGAGTTAAAATTGATGAAAAATAGAAGGAGAGACAATTGACAGAGATAAATATTTGACATGGTTTTTTTTTAATTGATTTTTTACAGAGAGGAAGGGAGAGGGATAGAGAGTTAGAAACATTGATGAGAGAGAAACATCGATCAGCTGCCTCCTGCACACCCCCTACTGGGGATGTGCCCGCAACCAAGGCACATGCTCTTGACCGGAATCGAACCTGGGACCCTTTAGTCTGCAGGCCAATGCTCTATCCACTGAGCCAAACGGGTTAGGGCCATTATTCCCCTTTTTACCTAATGAAACTCTGATTTGCTAAAACCTACAAATTAATCAAAATTTCAACTAAATATTAAAAGAAATAGCTTAAGAAGGATGTGTTTCTAAATGTCAATGTACAATTTTAAATCAATAAATATATTGCTGAATACTAAAGTTTTAAGAATTATCATTTCTGAGTAATGGTTAAATATTTCTCTCATGTATTTATAAAAGTCTTTTAGACATCAGGTAACTAATTCCACTGGAATTATGTAAAATTAATTTACTACACACAATTAGAGACTGCTAAAATACTTTAAATATTTTCTCTGATATAAGTTATGCCTTTCCCTTAAATATCTTTTAACAGCTAGTAAGTGTTAAAAATAAAAAAGACAAGGTATGAAATGCAACATCACCAATAATCACACAACACAAATTAGATCTGAAATAATGATGAATTATTACATAGAGATATTAAAGCCTTAGTCAATTAGCAATTTATTTGGCACAATAATCTTGGTAATAAAAAACAACAAACACTTACATAGTGCTTTGTTCTAGGCACTGTTGCAAGCCATACACAACTATTCATTCATTTAATCCTCCAAATAACCAGATAAGAAATATTATTATTCCCATTTTACAGATACAGGCACAGAGGCACTGCTAGGTTTAATAATTTGCCTACATCACACAAGTAAAGAGTAACTGGGAGTCAAACCCAGGCAATCTGTGCTCTTAATCACTACTCAAACCTGACTCTAGCACAGTTTACAGCAAGAAATCCTGAACATCCCTTTAGGCAGCAATAACATTTGACCTCTACCCTTTTATATGTGAGTTTAATTTTACGAAGTCCTTCAGAATTCCTTTAGGAAAAAAGGTAAAGCAGACAAAAAACATATTAGCCTTGGTTTTATCCTCCTTTGTTTTTAGGGTTCTAAAGGGAAACATTTCTTTAAGCAGCTTTTTTAAAATAGTTTCTAAGGCTTGTGCAGTGTTATTGAACGGATTTCGACAAACTCTTCCCTGGAGCTCTGGTAGGGCAGGGGGTGTAAAGTTTCAGTGGCTTTCATAAACACACCTTACCACCTGGTGTCAGTGTTTGTTGTCTCAAAATCATGTATCTTAAAATTCTTTTTTAACAACAGTGCATATACAATTAAAACTACATTTATTAAGTGCTCACACAGAGGCACTTCTATTTAATATCACTCCAAAGTGTCAGCAGAATTTTTTAAGATTACATCTGGTAGCTTAGAGAAAAAAATCCCAAAATCAAACAAGCTTGCTAACTAATGATATCAATCCAAGGTGGCAGAGGCTACCGAATTGTCACCTTCAACTATCACCCAGCTGGAATGAACCTCCAAGGCACTAAGTCAGATGTATGGATTTTATTATTCATGATTCTTAAGCCATCACAAAAGTACTTCTCACTCATTCTACAAAATACCTAAGAACAAAGAGACTAATATGCTTTACCAGATTCAGGGGCCTTGTTTACATAATCCTATAGCATTATGTGCACACTGTATCGTATTCTCTGCTCTAACCCTAACTAGACTCAGTATGTTTTGAAACTACTATAATTCCCCAAAATATAGACTTTTATTGATGTATTCACTCATTTTTACTTAGCTAATTATTATTTTACCTAATTATTCTTTTAAGGATGAGGCTTTTAATAGTGCAGTATTAGTTATAAAGTATTTTATAGATAGAAATCCAAGGAGTTATTATATTTCTCTAAAACACCAGCACTTTTCTATTCTAAAATGCATTTCCTCACTTTTAAGCAAACCCAAATGAGAGTTTCAAAGATTATATAAGCCAAAACGACTTGCGGCTAATAAAACATGAGTATGTGCTAAAAGGACCCTGGAAAGTCAATGAAAAAGCATGAACGTGTGTGTGAATACCAATTTTTACAATATTTACAAAGAACCTAGTGTTTACATGATATGGCATATGAAAAGCTATG